TATATATATAATCGGAATCTCGGAAACGACTCCAGCGATTTTCATGAAATTTAGTATGTGCGTAGGTTCGGGGGCGAAAAATCGATCATTTTTAGAAAATGTCCTTTTATCCCTGTTTTCAGTTAAAGAAAAATATATATGACAGTAAATTTCGCCGAAAAAAAAAATGTTATAATAGCTCGGTAGGTAATCGGGCGGCCCCAAAACAGACGGCCGCGGTTCGTAACACGATCATTTAAACACTTTTTTTCTACACCAGATCATTTTCTTTATTTTTTTTATTTCCAAAATACATGATTTACCAAAAAAAAAACGAGCAAAGCTCTGTTTTAACTTGTTAACTTATTAACTCTGTTATTACTGTTGTATTAACCTACACGTTGTTATAGGCAACGATGGCTCTGTAACGACATTTTGCATTATCACGTCAAAGCAATCCGCACCACGTCTATGCTCGTCACTTAATGGCTGCATGATTACTTTCTGCGCGATTTGTAATTAAAGACTAGATTTCAAAAGATCGAGATGAGGAACATATTTTAAATAACAAAAAAGTCTATGCTATCTTAATATTATTTAAGTATGGAATGATTAAGGATTGGAATATTATGAATAACGGTTATCCATAATTCCGTCATTGTTGGAATAAAATATTAGAGTCTAATTCCAAAATTCTGGAATATTTGCGGCATGTTTCATCGTCGGGTCGTCTAAGGTCATCGCTACTTTATTTTTCGTTGGAACATTAGATTAATTGTCAACAATTTACGACAGACAGCATAAACAGTTTTTGTGACCTGGGTGACCCGGTTTGGGCAGGATTAAATTAGAGTTTCATTTCTAGGTCTACTAATCTGGTGTTGTGTTCAGTCCCGTATTGTGGGAAAGTTTACGAATCACCCTCGGACGGCCAACCAAATCTGGAACATTATCTATTTGACATACGGCCGCAAATTAGGACTAACTTTCTCAAAATATCTTTGCTTGAACCCCTCAAACAATATAATTCGTATTATATATTAAGCGTTTAAGTATAGTAGGGAAAGCTTGAAAATGGCACGAGTGTCTAAGAAAATACGAAGTGGTATGTTGACATGTTATGGCCACGTTATAAGAAGGGATGAAAGTCACGTGATTAGAAGAGTGATGACTATGAATGTGGTTTAAAAGGTTTAAAGCGAGAGGAAGACCGAGAAAGATTTGGATGGATTGTGTCTCCACACAATCCATCCAATGATAATCGTCATGGAAAGGCAAAATTACTTAAACGCCAAACATTTATTTGGCGTTTAAGTGATGATTGTTCGTAAAAGGTGATAGAGGAAAGTGGAAGGAAAGGAAATGTTGTGCCGAACACACATATTGTGAACGACAGAAAGAAGACGAACATTAAGAATTAACTAACGTAAAGGAGAACATGAAGAGTTAATTAACGTATATGAGGTACGGCCGACGCTTATATTTTTCTTGCGTACAACTGGAATACTTAACATACAATAGACGTGCCTAGCTAACTATTATTGACTATATTATATACTTTCTATTATTCTGTCGTTGGGGAGGCTGAAGGCGATAAGCCAATAGTAATCCTTCCATAGTTAAACCGCCGCCGCAAAGTATACGATGCGGGGGCTTTGTTCGCGGATTCATCGTCGATGTCGGGTCGTAACCCTAAGCTGATTATTTGACGCATCGGCGTTCGTTTAAAGGCCGGTATGGGTTCTGGTATCGACGGATTAGGGTCGTGTATCAACACCTCGATAGGTTTACGCGGGGCGTTGGATTTTTTGTTTTCTGATTATTGGGCTAAGTGGCGCGTTGTAGGGCAGGGTCGCTCCCATTGATATACTGATAATGATGACAAATCGTCGGATGGTTTGTTCTATGTGAACATTTAAACAATTCGAATTGTGATCAAGGCGATGATGATTGTAGTATATTAGAGTCGATATATGTCATATGATATTGAAATACGAATTTTGATGATATAATGAATTTCCACCGACAGTTTTATGCTCTTACTTTTTGATTAGATCGTTGTCTTTTAATGTTCGTTAAAATCAACGCGGGGCTTCATCGAAATTCGACGCGAATTCAGGTAAAAAGCAAATTGGCACCACACCTGCCACCCGGTCCTTCCCCGACCGGAACATTTAGCGGAAGTTGCACAAAAACTGGGATGTTGCAGCCGAGCGGTTCGCCATTTCGACCCGACAATTGTTTCGGGCGCGGAGGAAGCCGAATAATCGCGATCGCTGTTCGTAGCGTACGTTGCCACTCCCGCGCCAATGATTCAGCATACGCGAACGGACGAGGGGGGAGGTGAGTGGTGTCGGTTCGGTGACACGGCCCATCCGCGTTACGTATTGTCGTTGTCGTGTAATCGTTTACGTACTGTCAGTAATCTACTCGTATGCTAGGGAAGGACGACAGTTTTACGTCCAGTTTCATTATTCTATCCACCTGTAGATTCTATCTATAAAATATAAGTAATATGGACCCAAATTCTAATTTCAAACCGTCGTTGTCGTGTATTATTTTACGTATATGTATTGTGTTAACTGATGTTAACGCTTTCAGTCCCGAGACTATTAAAGCTTCATCGAACGCAGAACCGGTGGGATAGCCATGACCCACGGGTTACAATATTTTACGTACTATCAGTAAACTATGCTAGGAAGGACGACAGATTTACGGCAGGTTTCATTATTATATCCATCTGTAGATTTGGTTAAGTATTATGGATCTAAATTCTAATGTCAAATACCTATCGCTAGTTAACAAATCTATATATAGATAAAATATTGAAACTGGCCCTTAGTGGTTCTCCTTATCGGACGAAATAGTTATCCCCCTCCGAATCTGCCAAGAGTACCACAGAGACATATATCAGAGACATCGATTTGTGCGTTTTTTTTTTCGGCAGAATTTAGAATTATAGGCATTATTATATTATCAAGGATTTTATTTACAAGCACTAAAAAATCAGACATTATCTATACTATTATCTATAAAAACAAACAAAATCATGTCTGGTGTATGGGATCCCCACTTAAATATTTCTTTATTTTATATGTTGTTATAGCAGTAACAGAAATACATTATCTGTGAAAATATCAACTGTCTTTCTATCACGGTTTATGCGATACAGCGTGGTGACAGATAGACAGTAGAGTCTTAGTAATAGAGTTTTACCCTTTGGGTACGGAACTCTAAAAATGGAGTGGAAATCGTGTGATATACTCACATATACTAGCTTTATTTCAACACTTCAAAAAGAGTGCCTAAAAATATAAATAAATAAACAGGCAGTTACATCGTTTCGAGGGGATTACTACGAGTCGAGTACATATTTTGTAATAATTAGATCCGAGTCTAAGAAATGCAGTAAAGTGAATCCCAGTTTGCGCGCAAATATCTCAAGAAATTTCCCTGTCTCGTATTTAATGCACACACAAATTCGCTAACAATAACTATTTGGGACTTACACAGTGCAGCCTATGCTATTTCTTTCTTCATCGTTAACGACCCGGCTTACATGAAAAAACATATAAAAAAATAATTTCCGATCTAAAAAATAATTTCCGATCTTTACCATTTCACGTGTTCAAAATGTTCGTTTGTTCGCTCGATAAGAATTATTTGTTTTTAATGCGGAAAGATTAGGCACTTTATCAAATGTAATCATGAGCTAATAAATGTTGCTCATGTTGATGTTATCGTGACCAGACACGGCTGTTTTGTTTCGAAGTCCTTTAAAATACTTTACTTTACTGCTTTAAATTTGCTTGGTTGGTTGTGTCGAGAGCCTATAATTGCACTTGACGCCACTTAGGCGTTGGAGGTATTTGATAATGTTTGTAATGGTTGTGATATATTTATATATATAAGTATGTACGTGTGTATGTTACTGAACTCCTCCTAAACGTCTGGACAGATCTAGACCGTCTGTCCGTCCGCTCATAACTATACTTTCTTTGCTATCGATATTTAAGGACATCTACTTGGTTAAACAGATTTATCGTGTGCGAATTAATTTTATATCGGCATTGAATTAATGAACTACAATATGTAAGATAAAAGTAAGATGCTGACTGTAAATTTCGACCTTTTGTATCTTTGGCTTTTGTATTCTTTTTAGAAAAATTTCTACTTCATTGCTTTCAATTCTCCGTCCGCCCGGTATTAAGAATCGTTTCATCTTTAGAAGGCATGTTCTACCTGAGATAATTTCCTACATTTAGATAGGAATTAGACAGAGTTACCTTAGAACTTAGAGAATAGTATTCTATTAAAATTTTTGGTTATATCTGTTATTTACTACAGGAATAATTCTTACTTAGATAATCAATTAGAACAATTAGATTTTACAATCTGCGATCCCTTGAAGGAATACGGATAATTGTATTTTATTTCGTTTGGAAGGACTTGTATGGTGAGTCCAAACGACCATTGCGACCTCGAAAGATCTATTGTAGTCTTCCCTTCGAAAATATTGTCCCCTTACTGTGGTATAACATTATCCTGTGCTGTAAGGACGTTTTGCTATCCTGTGTTGTAACTGCGTCACAGTCATCATTACAGATGATAATCAATGGTGATGCGTGTTATATTAAATTGCCTAAAGCCAAGCAACCAAGATCTGAATTAATTGTACAATACCTCACGCAAGTTCTTTTCCGAGAGCAGAGCGCGATGACCTGCGTCTTCGAAACTTGTCACTTACTACGCCACCAAATGAACAATTGGGTTAGTTATTACGCCAACAGAATTATTGCAGTCGCACAAATGGGGTGGTTCGAATTCTAGCATGAAATAGAAGTACCTTTAATATTTTTGCGTTTCAACGGATTTAACTTGGGCAAATGAAGGTCTAAGGGCAGCGATGCATCCACAGAAATTTTTGGTATGCGCATATTATGTAGTCGGCGGAGATCGTTCACCGTTGGTGAGCGTCTTGGTTTTTGGTCTTCTTTTAATTCTATGGTATCCTTTTGCAGAGTTCATCCGATTCGGTGCTGACAACACCCGGCGTGGAACGCTCGAACAGTTTGCAGACCTCGGAGCAGAATTTGCCACCCCGCGTGGCCTCCACGTTGCATCGCAACAAAAGCTCACTCCACTCCGCTGCCCAGGCCTCGCTTGGTAAGTCTGACCTCTATGGAGGCCACGTGTCGATGACGTCATTGACATTGATAATAAGGGGTTCTGTTTAGAAATTGTTATAGATAAATTTAGATTAGGTTTGTACGAATTTCGACCAAAAAAAATCTGAGTTTACCAACTCGCACAGGTGTTTTCTACCTGGATTATTATTATTGAATGTCATCTTTATCTTAGTCAAATTCTCCGCGCAAATCTCAGAATATGTTGAAAAAGAAACGCGCGAATATACTAATATCAATCATAAAACTCTAAGAGCTATTAGTGACTCGGCTTAGTTATTTAAATATCTGAATAAATATGATATTAAATAAGCAAGTCTGCTAAGTCAATAGTACTCAAATACAATCTAATGTAGGAATGATGACTTTGCCTATTTCTTAAGACTTGTCCCATTCTTTGATTTTCTAATTGTTTTGAATGTCGTGATATCTTTTGTTTTATTTTTACAATAGCAATATTATTGAGTGATAGTGATGATGGTGGTGATACGGAATTTAATACAGAACCTACGAGTTATGTATACCAACTCATTTGTAAAAGGCGTCCACTGAGTTGTGTTTTCGCTATCAACTCTTCATCAGGTTCAATTGTAGTCGAGCACTGACATGAATTGGTCATGACAAAAAATCGAAGAGCTATCACCCAAAACACCTTTAACTATCCATCTAAGCAAATCAACCATCTTAATACGTAAATGACCTGCGACAATTTGACCCGTTTTCAAAAACATACAAGGAATGAAACATTCTTTGTTGGGTTTGGAAAGTTTATTTTACTTTTTAGACCATGTTATATTCGCATTTCATCATATTGTAACACTTTAGTCAGTGCTTAGAAGTCTAATTAACCAATAAATAAATTTCCTATTTCGCCCGGCTTCGGTGCTCCGTAGTGACCTAGAAAGCGACTATTGCGGAAACGAATACGTTTTTGAAGAATTTTGCCGGTCAGCATACGCGATGTCGCGAATATCCGTAGCAGTAGACATATGCGTTTTTAATCTTCAGCCAGTGTCTGAACACTAACCTCGCCCAAGATACGTATTGCAAAAGTTTGACTACTGGTCTTCTTAAAGGCCGTGGTCATTCAACAGCAATCAGTTTCATACCACAGCCAAAGTGACACTTCTACTTCACGCCGGTCTTCTGTGAAGTAGTGGTACTAACACTGATCTGTCCATTCGTGCGACAGCGAACACTAATGCGTGGCCCTGGCCCTACCACAGTAACAAACATGGTGAGCACAGTAAAAAAGTGGGTGTCTAAACATTATTAAAATGGGGTCAAACCTCATTGCAATGGGCAGTGATGGATTTGATCCGTTGGCCGCCCTCGGTCCATACAAGATAGCGGCACCCCTACTCGCTGTAAAGCACGCAAAGTTAAATGAAGTATAAAATGCTACGTATGAGTAGGTAGGCCGCTTGTTTTATTATAATTCCTACGGAATATCGTCTACGCTATGGAGCGACTGGCGTTTTACCTCCCCCTCAATTTTGCCGCCCTAGGCCCGGTCCTACTGGCCCTATTGGAAAATCTGCCCGCACGACAATGAGGGTCGGAATAAAATTGCAATGGGAGTCGAAACCTCATTGCAATGGGGGTGGAAACATCATCGCAATGGGGGTCGAGACATCATCGCAATGGGGGTCGAAACATCATCACAATACATCCGCGTCCCGTTGCAGGCGGCAGTATGACCTCGCTGTCGTCAGCGCCCTCGACGCCCACCCCGGCGGCGTCCCTCTCTACGTCCGACCTCTCGGAGCGCGCGCGGCCCAGCCACGGCAAGCCGAACCTGGCGCCCAAGCCGCCCGCCCCATCGCCGCCGCCCAAGAAGCTGGTCGTGAACGGGAAGGTCGCCGCCAGGGCGCAGAGCATGAGGGTGCCGAGGTGAGTGATTGGAACCATTTCGTTGAACGGGGAATTAAATTTCGTATAATAATTAAAACATTATTACTTTGATTCTAATACTTTAACTATTTCTGAACTTGATTAACAACTATTATAACGACAAGCAGCACTAGTGGTTATATCACTGTCCTGAAACGCCGAAAAGCAAGTGCCCGCTGCTCCATGCGACCATGTGTCCATTCGCTCGAGTAGATAACGTCATATACGGTATACAGTGTTGCCAGCGACAACATTCGTTTGACCCTGTCGGTTTCCAGAGCATAAACGTGAGAGTACCATAAAGAGCTTACGTTGGACCTTCGGTGGTAGTTAAACACCAGTCGGTGAGGATAGAACCTCTGTTATACGACCCGAATGGCGTAGTGTACCTGCCTCCTGTGCCAGAGGGTGTGGGTTCGATTCCCACTATTAGAAAAATATTCTGCGATGAACATAGTGTTTTTCTAGTGTCCGGGTATTTATATATGTATAATAGGTATTTATTTATAAAAGAAAAGTATGTTAATCAGTTAATCAGTTATCTAGCACCCATACAAGCGTTGCTTAGTTTCAGACTAGAGAATGTGTTCTAAATATTTATTTGTACCGAAATATCTATTGACTTATCGTGTATTACATTTCTTCATCTAAAGTTTTGTGAATTATGAACAAATTTGACGTCTACGATCATGTCCGTCTGACCTTAGAGTAAATTTAGACACCGGCCCTCACGCAAAGTCTATTTCATCGTCTTAATTTGAGCGTATCAATATCCCGCGGAGAAACAACTTGCCTTTGTTTACGCTGTGTTCCGAGAAAAGGAAACTATTTCAGGTTCGGCTTGGGGGAGAATAATGCTTGAAATAGGCGACGTCAAGTTGTAAACTATCCGATTATATTATCTGTCTAAACGTTTTATATATTCTCGTAACTGTAGTTTTAACGGTGCTGTTGAATCGCCAACGTGTAACTTGGTCACATCCTTCATTAAGAATTGTACATGCGCAATATATACTTATAGCTAATATTTATACAATATACGGCGTGTCGTTACCATCGCGACAATAAATGAACACACGGCTAACGCTACATGCCAATAATAAAAAAAAATATTAACGTTTAACAAAATCCATAATTAAAAAAAAATATTTTTCAAACAAACTAATTAAGTAAAAAAGAAACAAAATTTGTAACATCCTATACAACTCGCGCCACAGCGTCGTATTACAAGCCTCTCCTTCTAACAGTATGTTTTGTCTCTTTTAAATGCATTCAACCCATTCATATGCTTTGTGACCTTTACAAATGAACTTTACGTTACGCTTTTATAGGTAAGGGTGTTCTAAAATTCTTTGTTTTGGAAAATTTTATAACTCTGTAAATATTGATGTTTAAAGAATTTAAATGTTTAATACAACTTTAAAAACTTATCCCCTATATGTGTGTTCATTTATTGTCGCGATGGTAACGACACGCTGTATATGCAATATAGATTTACACATAGGCGTATATAGCAGGGTGGCCGGGTGGGCCATGCCCACCCCAGAATCGTCTAGTGCCCATCCTAGGATTTTAGGTTACTGATTCGAAATTTTAGGCTGGATACCTAAGAAATTTCATAAAAAATCATTGAAAACAATTACTTGTGAATACACAACGTAGTAACTACGAATTAGTTAACACTACTATTATATATTAATAAAAATTATTAACGATAATTAACTGTTATTTTTTTAATACGCATAATGTTCGATTTTTTTTGTAGTAAAGGCCCAGGCCCACCCTGAAAAATAATTCTAGATACGCCAATGGACTTACAGCTAATATTTATTCCACCACGTGTGTGATGCACGACTGTCACAATATTTTGCTATATCTAAGTAAATAAGGTTGAAATCCCCTTACAGTGATTCCCCGGCCGCCGTGTCCGCTACGCGGCATTTGCGTATCTAGTTCCAAGGTAATAGGGTTGAAATCGCCTCGAAATCCTCCGCAGGTCGCCGCCGGTGTCGCCACCGTCGCCGCCCAGCGCTCCGTCGCGGCCCCCCCAGCCGCCGCCCGCCAACCCCGCGCCCCACATCGCCACCAAGAACCCGGCCTCGCATTTCGGTGAGTTTCAACCTTAATGTAACGCAATAAGGTTCACAATTGAGTGCTGTAATAATGTGTCGCATTTCGGTGACTTTAAACCTTAATGCAACGCACTACGATTTACAATTGAGTGCTGCAATAATGTTTTGCATTTCGGTGAGTTACCTTATTGCATTGGACTAAATTATAAATATGCATAATATGCAATGCCGTGCCACTGAGTTATCGATCCGGTTTCACAGTCTGCGTGCGCAGGTACACTAAGGGATTCCGAAAAAAATCTTCAAATTCGAATCCGGCACAGGGTTCCGTAGGTGTCAAATATTTAACACTCGACATACCTTTTTTCGACAGGGGTTTTCTAGCACTTATATACGATATATAAAGAGGCCGATATTGATATTTTTATAAATATCGATACATCGATATATTTATTCACTTTGGACATCCCTAGGTACAATGCGGGCGGCGCGTGCCCTGCGGCCGCCGGGCGTTTGCCCCCCTCCGCCGCCGGGCGCCCCCCCCCTCTCCTTCTCTTTGCCGCCCCCCGCGCGCCACGCCTCGCTCGCCGCCCCCCCGCCGCCGCCGCCCCCTCACCACCGTCACAATGTGAGTAGACTCGCCCCTCTCACTCGCACACCAGCTATCCCTCTCCTTCTCTTTGTGATACCGTCGTTCCGTTCGCTCTACTCCGCAGTCATTTATCGGCGAGTGCTTTTGGAGAAACGCGATAGCATTGAATGTTAGTCTAACTGACTTTCACATAGACAACTTATTGCAGAGATAAATTACATTTGTTTCTAGAGAGAGTAATGAAAAGGATGTTTATTATGCTTCTCAGCGCCCACTACGGTAACACAAAGCGCTGTGGCATATGTTTTGTTTCTTAAACTGTGCGAAAGACAGGTTGTCTGTAAATGATGTCTCCGCTGAATTTGAATCTGTCGACCAATAAGTTTTACGTTAACTGCTTTTTTATATTAAGTTTTCGGTGTTTCATTCTCTCGATGCAGATGCATGCGATTAGGACATGGGGTGCTATTAAAGAATCACACATTTTTGCATTGGGAATTCTATGTATGAGAAATGAATTACGACGTGCATTAGGAACTTATAATGTCTTGGAACCCAATAAAATAATGCCACGATAAACCATCATATACACACGGCTTAAATGACTAGCATACCTGAAAAGGTGATTTCACGCGAATTTCTGGTGTTGATTTGAATTATTTGAATAAGTTATTGCACGGAATAAGTGTTTAATAGGTATGCCATTTATAACATAGCCCTTACAAGCAGTATCATAAAGAGATCGAAACAAGCATAGTCCATATAATTGTCAGCATCATAGAACATGCATCATTTTTAACCCTTGCATGCAATGTATTGATGACACGGTGGCATAGTTGCCAAGATATTGGCTTCGGCACCGAGGGATGTAGGGGCGATTCTCATACGGAACAAGTATTTTCGAGACCCACAGATAATTGTTCCGGATGTGGTTTATTTATTTATTTAATAAGCCACGATAGCTCAGTGTCCAGGTGCTTCCTTTAAGCTCCAAGTTCAAATCTCGGTGCCGGCACCAATAAAAACATTGGTCGCGTGGTGAATTACGCCTTAATGACCTCTGTACAGAGGAGACTTTTGCCCTGTAGAGGCACATATAACGCCTGTTACTTTTAGATTTATTTATTTCCACGTTAATGACCGCTGATCATACCTAGTCGGGATAAGCGCATGACAAGACATGCAATATATTGATATATACTTGCAGTTGGATTTACTGTCCTCGAATCCCTTTCTCTCTCTACTCTGATTGTAGATTTTACGTGATCGTCTGACCTGAATGATTAAATGCGCCCACGACACTAAGTCCCATTCCGTGGCTGACTAAATGCGACTGTAAAGAATATTACGATCGTGTTAATCTGACTCCTCGAATCCTTACTAATATTGTAAACGCGAAAGTTTGTATGTATGTTTGTTACTTTCTCATGCAAATACTACTGAATGGATTTTAATGAAACTTTACAATAATATAGCTTATACATCAGAATAAGACATAGGCTATAATTTATATACATATTTTATGTATATCTGTCTTTCTGTCTGAATGTTACGCCTTCAGCCTATTCTACGCAGACGCAGTCGCGGGCAGTAGCTAGTCAAGAATAATTTTAAGTTCGGGAAGTAAGATGAAACATAGCGATTTGTACCTCGGTGCGCGTTCGAATACAAAATGCCACGCGACTGTGTTCCTTATTGCGTAGAACATAACGAGCACCGATAGCTAGAAGGGTTTCGCACCGACACCCCTTGTGCGTCACAAGGATCGAGCCTCTAAATAAAATCATATAGCAAATTGTACCTCGGGGCGCGTTCGAATGCGGCAGGTCATGCGATTGTGTGCCTTATTTGGTAGGGCATAACGATCACCGGCAGCTAGAAAGGTTTCGCGCGGGCTCCCGAAGTATCGAGCCTCCATTTCGAATAACAAAGCGATTTGCACCTCGCGTTCGAATGCGGCACGTCACGCGATTGTGTCCCTTGGGGGCCGTCCATTATTCACGCGATGTATTTTTAGCATATTTTAACCCCCTCTCCTCCCCCTTGGTAATACTTGGTAGGGTTCAAAAAAATCACATGTATTTTTGGTACTTACGAAGAATCTTGAAATTTTTAGAATATTATCTTTTAGACAAAATAAAATAAAAGCCGAGCCGTGCGGTAGTCGCTGCGTGCGGCGCGCGAATCTTTGCTCGTACCTTTTGGTTTAGAAATCGCGCGTTTGACGACAAAATAAATAACACGTCATATCTTAAAACACCCCTGCATCCCCTTTGTGATACTTCGTGATTTTGCCCCCCTCCCCCGTTTCGATATTGCGTGGTTTTTGTCCAAACCCCCCCCCCCCCCCGCGCCGAGCTTCGCGTGATGAATGGACGGCCCCTTATTGCGCAGAGCATAACGAGCACCGGCAGCGAGGAGGGCTCCGCGCCGGCGCCGCCGGTGCGCGGCTCCTCGATGCGCCCCCTCGACCTGGAGGCGCGCTACGCGGACATGTTCCGGCCCCAGGCCAGCTTCCCCATCCCCGACCCGTTCCTGCGCATCGCCAAGGACTACAGCAGCGCCGCGATCGCCGGTAAGTACGCGTGAGGGGGGCCCCCACCCCACCTGCCGCGGGGTGGTCGCACTCGCGGAATGGCGTCGGGGGAAAAGAAATTGTCTATGGTTTCGGTTTTTAAACGCTATCGAAAAAGAACGCGATATTGTCTATGGTATCGTCTTGGAATTACACTGGGGAAAATTGTCTAGGGTTTCATTATTTTTATGCTATCGAAAAAGAATGCAATATTGTCTATGGTAACGTCTTGGAATGACATTGAAAAAAAAAATCAATTGTCGATGATTCCAGTTTTGGAACGCGATCAATGAAACGAAATATTGTATATGGTTTTGTAATGCGGTGTTAATATGGATGAAATTTTCAATGGCTTTAAAACTATCGAATCGTCCGATTAGCATATAAGACGGGTGAGATATATTTTTCGTACCAAATTGGTAATACACAATTTGCTTATATGTAGAAATTCGTTTTGAGGTATTTTGGTACCGTATAAAATATTCGACTGACAAATTCACGGACTGTTTTCAGCCTAAGATTTTGTTTTGTATAGTTTTTTGGTTTTACTTGGCGTATAAGTGAAACGCACAAAAACATCTTTATAGTCATACAGTATACAATATATAAATAGATATAGCATTAACATTGTACATATAGGTGATATTTTCAATGCAATAGGTACAAGTCATAATATAGACAGGAGGAAAAAGTATATATTCTCCTGTTATAATAATGTTAGAAGTTAAAAATGTTGAAATTTGTTTTTATAATTGTTTATTAGCGGATAAGTGCGGTATAAATTTAAGTGCACGATCGTATGCATGTAGCGTCTTCGACGTTAAAGTGGCCTTAATGAAATATTTAAAAAAAATGTGATGTAGAAACTTCGGTAAGCTTAGTTATGATTCGTGAAAATATTTTGATTTTATAAATATTTTAATATTCTTTTTCCAGTATTTTGCTCATAATAATAATTATTGTGCAATTTTACATATATTTGTGTTTCTACGTTAAGTACATTTGAAGAGTTAATACTATTATTGTTTGTCTTCCCGTCAGTTACTTCTTGCATTTATTATCAGGCATTCTTGTATAATTTGATGAAATTGTGCATTGCCCGCATTGGTTTCAAATGTTTTAACTTAATGCTTTAGCATAAATTTTCTCAAATCTGCATTCATTTAACTTTGTTGGTGTCATTCATTTTTCATATCATTACGTTCATCTAAAACCTATGTATGTGGGAAGATCGGTCATATATTACGACAAATTTGATAATAATGTTAATTTTATATTAGCGTAGTAGATGTTTATCTTTTTTATTTTTGAGTCATTATATTAATTAATCGTGTATGTTTTAGTAGCTGTATGGATATAATTTTACTTAATTACTATAATGTTGTTATAATCTATGTATTTCTCTTTGGTTATAGTGCTCACGATACGTATCAACATTTCTTTGCAATACATTTTTATATTTTGATGACTTGTAATATTTGTTTTGTAGTATTCCCCCTTTGTAGCTTCTATGTTTCCTTCTAATAGCTAGCTACTTTCTAGAAGGCAAGCATGCATATTGGAAATTGAGTATGTAGATCCAAACAGATTTTAATAAACGCCAAAATAGTCGCGTGTCATGTGCATTCGTTTTGATGAAAATGCGTTTTATTTCGCAGACATTATATTTCTTTATTTGATACGTATATTTGCCTATAGCCTGCACTTATTTGTAAACATGCAATGGTTGGTTAAGTGGACTATTTTGTTGTGATCTTTTGTTTAATATAGTGAGGTGCCATTATGCAAATTTATGTACTGTGTGACCGCGAAGTAGTTTCCATTATTTTACATTGCAAGTATGATACTTTCATTGGATCTCTTGACGCGTCGTTTTTTTAGGTAAATCTCTAAGGGAATTGTGTCTTGATTTAGCAATGTGTGTAGAAAAGTTGATTAAAAATTACACTCAATAAGGCATTATTAAAATATGACAAAGAGGGATACGTATCAGTGATGTTTATCTAATGAATAGTGTTATCTAATGAATATAATTATGTTATTTCTCGACGGTCAAGAGGTTGAATGAAAGCTTTTTGTTTATATCGAGATGCAGCAGGTATTGTGATAAAACGATGTACGATGCTTAATAATTAAAGATACTTTTTTTAATAATAAAATAATAATCATTATTGAATCGTTGTCCAGTATTTCATTGCTCAACCTAACACTACATGTCGTCTGAATGCTCCGTATTGGATGTTCAGTTTCGTGGGATGCAAGTAATATAAAATATTTGACGTTAAAAAAAAATGAACACAAGATAAAATTTCATTGGCCCGTTTGCAATTACTTTGCTTTTTTCAAATTTATATTTTTGCTTTATTGTCTTATTGTGCCCTAAGAAGTTTCGAAAATTGTGAATTAACTAACTATATTCAGCACAATTGTTAGAAACTCTTAATGTTGGTTTATACCAAAAATACATTAAATTTATTGACCTTAAACCTTATTTCGACACCTAATGGAACATAAATGAAATAAAAGGAAGTACCTACATACTTGAAAGTAATTTCACATTTCTAGTTGTGAAAATCATTTTCATTTCATGGTGAACAACAAACCGCATGTTAATCGTACTGTGGCCGTGGGTAAGTGCTCTGAATTTTAATTTAATTTAGCATGAATGTGATGTGTGACTCATAAAGTAATTGAAATGTATTCTAATATGCATGGGACATTTATACTAATTTTCGTTTAGAGAACATACGAGGGGTAAATTATTGTAGCTTCTATAACTTTCGCATCAACTATTCTCGACAAAGCTTGCCGTATAATGCACGAAGTCAACATAGCAAACTGTTTTAAACTAACAACTAGAATTTACTTTAGTAGTCTATTTCTCGAAAATATAATATTATATCTTTTATTTACTATTATTTTACTTTTATTTACTATTAATTTCTATTAGAACAATTTGGAGTTTCATTATCAAAATTGTGTTAATGTTATTAGTAATAAGAAACTACTAATAGGCTGAATTTATACTAATTCTATTGATTCTTTTTTCCGATTTTATCCGTTCTCGAGTGCCTGGAGTCTTAAATTAAATTAATAGATATTATACTAATTGCGATTTTCGGTGTGTGAGCGAAGTGGTCGTGAGCGAAGTGGGCGTGAGCGAGGTGGTCGTGCGCGAAGTGGTCGTGGGCGACGTGGTCGTGAGCGAGGTGGTCGTGAGCGAAGTGGCCGTGAGCGAAGTGGTCGTGAGCGAAGTGGCCGTGAGCGAAGTGGTCGTGAGCGAAGTGGTCGTGAGCGAAGTGGTCGTGAGCGAAGTGGTCGTGAGCGAAGTGGTCGTGAGCGAAGTGGTCGTGAGCGAAGTGGTCGGGAGCGAAGTGGTCGTGAGCGAAGTGATCGTGAGCGAAGTGGTCGTGAGCGAAGTGGTCGTGAGCGAAGTGGTCGTGAGCGAAGTGGTCGTGAGCGAAGTGGTCGTGAGCGAAGTGGTCGTGAGCGAAGTGGTCGTGAGCGAAGTGGTCGTGAGCGAAGTGATCGTGAGCGAAGTGGTCGTGGGCGAAGTGGCCGTGAGCGAAGTGGCCGTGAGCGAAGTGGTCGTGAGCGAAGTGGTCGTGAGCGAAGTGGTCGTGAGCGAAGTGGTCGTGAGCGAAGTGGTCGTGAGCGAAGTGGTCGTGAGCGAAGTGGTCGTGAGCGAAGTGGTCGTGAGCGAAGTGGTCGTGAGCGAAGTGGTCGTGAGCGAAGTGGTCGTGAGCGAAGTGGTCGTGAGCGAAGTGGCCGTGAGCGAAGTGGCCGTGGGCGGAGTGATCGTGAGCGAAGTGGTCGTGAGCGAAGTGGTCGTGAGCGAAGTGGTCGTGAGCGAAGTGGTCGTGAGCGAAGTGGTCGTGAGCGAAGTGGTCGTGAGCGAAGTGGTCGTGAGCGAAGTGGTCGTGAGCGAAGTGGTCGTGAGCGAAGTGGTCGAGCGAAGTGGTCGTGAGCGAAGTGGTCGTGAGCGAAGTGGTCGTGAGCGAAGTTGTCGTGAGCTAAGTGGTCGTGATGCGAAGTGGTCTGTGAGCGAAGTGGCCCGTGAGCTAAGTGTCGTGTGAGCGAAGCGGTCGTGAGCGAATTGGCCGTGAGACTAATTGGCCGTTGTGAAGTGTGGTCGTGAGCGAAGTGATCGTGAGCGAAGTGGTCGTGAGCGAAGTGGCCGTGAGCGAAGTGGTCGTGGGCGAGGCGGAGCGGTGGGTCGACGCCTGCCCGCCGGAGGTCGAAGCGGCCGTCTCTGACGGCGAGCAGACGGCGGCGTGCTGCGAGCCGCAGAGCGAGATGTACTACACCGCCTCGTCCGAGGTCTCGCTTCTGTCGGAGGCGGAGGAGAGGCCGCACGGGGAGGGGAGGCAGGGCGTGGTGGCCGGCCACGTGGCCGCCATGAGGGAGCGCTTCGAGAGCATGACGCGCGCCAACACGCCCTGCCCGGACCTAGACGCGGTAGGGCACGCCACCCCTTCGCCCGACCGTCTAGACCGGGGCCTCGATTGAGGCGTCTCGAAGGTTTCCGGTGTAGAGATTGCAACTGTAACGGTCGTAAAGTATTCGAGAGACGGTTTATGTATTTTTTTTTTGAGCACGTTGTACTGATTATCCCTGAAGCTCTGTTGTTTTGTAACGAACTACTTTCGTAACACGTATTCAATGTAACAAAATTAGTGCCTAAATTACGATAATTACATTTAGTGGCGCCATTCTTCCAATTTTTATATTAGATCGAGGGTAGTTTGCAGAGTACGGTTGGTCGTTTGTGGATTTTTCGATTATTGTGTATTGGATTATATATTACTCGTGTATTTCAAATGAACGTACAAAATATATTTCGATCATTTGTTGTTAGTTAGCGAAAGGGTTGTGATCTTTACGGGCAGTCCTTTTGCAGTCGAACGAACGGTTACATATCTAATGAACATTGAATGGTTTTAGTTCGTAGCATTTGTATAACGGCAATATTTAAAAAAAAAATTCTTAGTTCAGACGCATATTGTAACCGTTTTATTGTGATCTTTGGGAAGCTCAAATTTTAATTGTTTTTACAACGTTACAAATAGCAAATAGACTAACCACTACCATTTACTATCTAATCTAATCTTCGTCAGACCAAGTAACGTTATCGCTTAGCTTAGATGCCACTATTGGGAGGTAATGATTTTATGGTTATATTTACAAATAATAGTAGTTCAAACGTTAAATAATAAAGGGTTGCCATATAAAGTAGATGTAAGTATACAATTAGGCATTTGTTAAAAACCCGATGTTTCTATTTAGTACTACATAATGTTGTATTTTTCTTGTTTGTTGGTGATACTAGTTTTACGAGCGGTTTTAATTAACGTGTTTAGGTGTAAAGTTGTATAAGCCGCCACGCCACTATGGAGTTTTTTTTTTTTATTTTTCCCTTTGACTTAGTAATACCCATCACTGATTTTATTGTACATTTTAATTAGACTAATTTTATTTAGATTTCTCTTTTCATGCAAAAACGTCAACGGGCCAGTATCGTGTCTTGACGTATTGGCGCCAATTAGTAGTGTTCGTGTAATATAAACGTGTTATGTATTCGAAAGAGACTTTTATTAATAAACTAAATATATGGCTTTAACAAATATGAAGTTTCTTTGTTCCATATTTCAGCACTCCCTGGGGCGGACTGTCAGATGCGCGCTAATTTTGGATAGCCAACTAGTTCAGTAAAATAATGTGTTCATTCAGCTTATGGTAGAGTATGTATAGGGGAGAAAATGTGACAGATAGTCAGTCATGCGTGATCTCGAAAGAAAATAACATTAACAGTAATATAGTAATATATTTTATTATTATATAGTTTACAGGCATATACATACATTAGCATGAAAACAAATATTACAATTGTAGTTATAATGAAGTGTAACAAGCAGTATCGATATATTACGGGGGATAGTACGGTGGCTCTCCAAAATTAGACAACAGGTAACAAATAAAAAGCGAGCATCCAATCCATAGCATTTATTGAGTAAAGTGTCAAAATTCTACAAGATAGGCAAAAACGTCACAACTTCACGTGGAAATTAAGAAAAAAAATCTCAAGGCAGATAATACGAACGTATTATAGTTATTCTTACACACATTTGAACACCTGGATTTGTTGTTTTACTTTTTATTTAAACGAGAACATTACACTACCGACGATATACCGTGAGCCCCGGTGTACGTAGGGGGCGCGGTGGCCGCGGGACATGGCGGGGGGAGGAGGGGGGCGGGGCGAGGGGCGGGAGGGGTGGGGGAGGAGGAAGAGGGGGACAGGGGGCCGCCAATCCAACAACGCGAGTTGTGACAGCTTAGGTCGCCTGCGGTGCGCTCGCAGGGAACTGCCGGCCCAACCGCGGCCGTGCCGGGCGAACTGCGTCACCTGTCCCCGCCTCCCCCCCGCCCCGCCCCGCCCCCCCTCCTAGACCGCGCCGTCTGCCAAACGTCCCCTCCCGCTCGCTCCCCCGTCCCCGCCCGTAGAGCCGCTGCCCCCGCGCGTCCGCCGGCCCCCGCTTCCCCCATCTTACCTGCGCCGTTAGTATCCCGCCACCGCGCAACCGTTATGAGGGGGTGTTGGGGGGACGGGATGTGGTTATCGGGGCGGGGAGGTCGGGGTGGGTTGGGGTCGGGGCGGCACGGCCAGCCGTTCAAGCGATGGACGTGGTAATTGGAACGGGGCGCCTACCTGCCGGCGGCGGCTACCGGTAGCGCGGCTGCAGCAGCCCGTGCATCCCGCCGGGGAACATGCCCATCGGCATCACGCCGCCGCCCGGGAGCAGCACGCCTGCACACAGACGCCACGGCTCGTGTCAACCCCGCGCCGCCCCTGAGGGGCCGAACGGGGCGCGACCCGACACCGGGGCGGGGGGGCCCGCACCCGGCCCCCCCGCCCCGCCCCCGCGCCGCCCCGGCCGCGCCCTCGCGACGCGGCGGGGGCGGGGCGGGGGCGCACATGAAAAAGACATCGTCGGCACACTTTCAAAAAAAAAGGAGGAAGAAAAAAAAACAACCAAGGAATACCTAAGGATATTATGTGGAACAATCGTATCCGCACGTCATCATGCACGTTCCTGCTTGCGATCCGTGACGGGTCGTGTCTTGTGCGGTGGCAACAACCAATTTAGCCAAAAACGACTAGAAATCACCGATTTCATGCACATTTGAAAGCGACAAACTACATGTATACGTAAATATAATATTAGTGTTGTACCCACCCGTGTTTACCGACATTGTGTATGTCACATTTAAACATGACCACTACGAGAGAAATCGAGACAGTAATAAGTAAAGAGCTACTACAGTAAGCAAATCCATTAGAGGAATGTGAATAAATTTACCGCTCACTTTTGGTTCGGCCGCTGCGTTTGTGCGAATGGCGCGTCAAAGTCGCGGTTAAAGTCTTGACCTAGGCCGCGCCCGGCGGCGGCGGGGCTTTGGGAGGTGCGAGTGAGACGGGGCATGAGTGATCGTACTAGAGTGAGCGGGACGGATATACGCGCCGCTCAGATTAGACAACAGGCCTCCCCTCGCAGCCGAGTTTTACTCGGCGGACCGAGGAGTGTCATGTTGCAAACACTCGTTCGGTACATAGCCGTGGAAAATAGAAACTAAAGTCGCACAGGAGATTTCATGATTTATTGGAAAAAGAAAAATAATAATGATAATAGAACGGTGACATTTATTATGTTCAGTCCATTTTCCACGCCGATAACTAATAATTATGCTTTAGTGACAAACCATGAACTCTTAATACAAAAAAAAAAACGAGTAGGTCTGTCTAAAATACATCTATTTTACAGTGTGTCACCCAATGTATTACCCAAATACTAGCTAATAAAAATTAACCACTGTCAAAGTAAATCTTATATAACTTCTAAAGAATGCTCTTTATAAAACTATACAAACTTTATTTGTAAACTCGGGACACAGGATATACAAGTAAAAATATTCAAAAAAGTTTTATCATTAAAATTTCATGTTTGTAAAAATGCAATAATAATAATAGTAAAGGAAACCTTATAAAAGTAAACTTTTTATACAAATGGGACATTATCTAATATCTTAATACGTAAATAAAAGTGAACCAAACCTTTCAAGCACACTTAATTTCTCTCAAACCAGCCCGCGAACTGGAAGTAAATTGTTTCTCTAGACTTCCAACACAAATAAATGAGTTAATATCCATAGGAGCTCTGATATGTCTTACGCACACTTCTCATATTTATGTTCGAACTTAAATTTATGACAGCTGATAGCAGGATTCACACATTGATGTAATAAGAAAGGAAAATAAAGGTATTAAAAGGTCTATATAAAAATATCAGTTCACATCATTAGGGAATGCTGTTGCAGTCTTCTATAACTGTCTTTCCATTATTCATTCCTCTCTATTGCATACAATGATTGTGACTTATAACACCGGAACAAAATTAAACATGAAAAATACAGCAGTTTATAGCGTCATGGAATTTGAACATATACAGTTTTATCTTAGAGAAGAATATATGTACTAATACATTTTATTATACATTAAACTATGAGAGTTTCAACCTTGCATATGGTTTAAATTTAGTTTACCTACAGATCCTTAATTTGTAGCCTACATTTATATGTGATAACATTAAAATGTCACTACAATGTGCATTTTTCCTAACATACGAAATTTTATACAATGTTAAAATTATTTCATTGGATAACATGAATATGAGCTATGTTAATGTGTACAGAAGTGTATTAGAAACAAGTCGCTAAAGGTTCTTAGTTATAATATAGTATGTGCAGCCCAAATTCATCAAACATTGTTTCATGACTTGTTACTATTACTCTTACAGTGTAAATCTTTCAATCTAACTTTAAAAACCCTATGATTTCTTTATAAAATTTGTTTATTGAATAAGGAAGTCACGACTTTTTGTATATACAATTGAATAAACAAATGCAAGTCAAGGGAATTTATCAAAATATATGTCATTCTGAAATTTTACAGTTTGCTATTTTTTTGGCGTGTTAAACTAAGATCTCTATACTCCAATCTCTTAATAATTGTACCTTTACATATATCTTTATACCAATAAGAATCATGATTTTTGAATACCAAATTAGAACCAAAATCAATTATGTTACTTTTGCCTTATACAACAATAAATTTGTAGCAGTTTATTATATAAAATTGACAACAATTCTGCACATACACAAACTGTAAAAGTTCAATCAACAGAATAAATACACATAGAACACGTGTTACAATATAGTGTAATATTACAAACAATAACAGTAACTTAGACACAACAACACGAGCCACAGTTCCCCACCAATCGAGTCCAAAACAATGTCAATATTGCCGGTGGCGCCTACATGTATTTATTCCGAGGCGGTGGCGTCGCTAGGGCTGTGCTATGAGTCAACTTTTTGAGACCAGCACAGCGGAATTGTCACATACATGTATCAATCAGGGGTGGGCAATGATGTTTTATACTACAGATATGTTATTTACGCGCCCGTAGTGAAGTGCGTAGTGGCAAACAAAGTAAGAGACTGGAAAGCCGAGAAAGACGGATGCTCCTCGAGATTTACAGCAACACTTGACCATCCCCTTTTTTTTTTATTCTTTCTTTCATCTTTTATACTTACGGAGTTTCTTTCTTCAGTTTCTTTTCCGTTAGAGGAAATGGTGGTAGATTATAAAAAAAAATTATCATCTATCAATGAAATGTATGTTTCTAATGTTGATGAATAAATGATTTTGATTTAGTTTGATATGATTCAAATTAAACTTCAGATATTGAGACTGTATTGATTTATGATTGTGTCTTGAGAAACTATGTTCAAAAATAGCAACACTTTCGATCGGTCATTTTCTACACAAACATATCTGCAGTACAAAACATCATTGGGGAGAGGGGGGGGGGGGGGGGGGGGGGGGGGGGTTGGTGACAAGTTCATCGCCCCAGCGACGCCACCGCTACACCAGCGCGGGGTGTGGCTAACGGTAGTTATAATATGCGGTGTACTGACCGGGCTGGATGGGGCGCATGATGTTGAACTGCGGCATTACGGGCAGCATGACCGGCGGCATGGACACGGGCACGCCTACGCCCACGCGCACCGGCTGCGGCAGCTGTGGCAGCTGTTGCAACTGCTGCAGCTGTGGCAGCTGCTGCAACTGCTGCAGCTGGGGCAGCATGCCCACCATCTGCTGCATCACGGGCCGCCGCATCGCCGCCTGCTGCCGGGCGGCCGCCACCGCCGCGTTCATGTGAGCCGCCACCTGCGGACAACGCGAACCGTGTCAGTTACTGGCATGACGCACATTTTTTTTAAAGTATATACTTCTTTTGGCGCGTTTAGAAAAAAAAATGAGGGTAAAATTTCTTCGATGCGCGCGCACACCAACCCTCAAAAATTTGTCTATTGTTAATTTAGTGTATTCTTTTATGTATGGTGGACAATAAAGTATTCATTCGTTCATGCGAAGCAACCAACTTCACGGCATTACCATCGCAACCAATAACAACTTTTTGAAATTTACCAATAATTTACCAATAATTCCAAGATATTTAAATAAACCGTAATTAATTGCATTTAATGTCTATACGCTAAAGTCCAACTACTTACGTGCGTACATAAATACGCACATACTTTTTTTCTTGACAGAGAATCGTTGCCTTTGAAATGCTCAAAAAGTAATGAATTGGCATAGACGGTCAAATTTAGTGAAAAATAAATAAATGTTATCATTTTCTCAAAGAAAATCCCCCATTTTGATTGACTTCCGTTACATAAATACACAGTTCATAAGTACCGATTTGGAAATGGCAATATTTAAATACAGCTAACATGCCATAGCTATAAATATTCATCATTTTTTATTATAATTATATCTTTAAAATTAAACAACCATGATTTTAATAGACCAGCAAATTTTCAAGTGCCTTTAAATTATAATTAGGGAATAATATAAATAAATATTATTGTTAGATTTATAAATTTATATGTAAAAAAAATTAATAATAAAGACCATAAAGCTTAATTTATAGTGTGGCATTTTCTCAAGATAATTTTTAGTGCACTTGTTAATAAATGTTATATAAATATAACTTGACAGATGTATTTACAGAATATATTGTTTTAGATCTGACAATTACTCAAGGTTATGTTTTTAAGGTTATTGGTATCAACAGAAAAGGACTATTGAGCCAGCTTTGTTAGAAACAAACAATAGGGAGTATATGTTAGAAATTTAATACTATTTACATACCAGATATAATTGTAAGCAGTCCTTGGTGTATGGTAATAGCTGCAATAGCCACAATTCACTCATTTGATGACTGGTCGAAATTTTCCAACATCATAGACTTTGTAAATGTAATAACTGAGTTGCCAAAAGTTTGAGACCACAAGTAGAAAACCACCTGGAATACTGAACAGAGCCAGGTGCTAGAGTCATAGTTAGCATTTTTTCTGCTTATTACTAATAATTTTTAATTGTTTTGCATTGTGCAAAATTTAGGATTACAGTAGAATTTGAAAAATAATCTACTAAAGTCAGTTTTATTAGTAATCAAATGAAGTAGTGTTCATTGTAAAAGTATTTTATACAAGAAAAATAATAGTTATCCAGATCATTCCATATTCAGCAAACAACTGGCCATTTATCTTGAAGATAATCTTATATTACCAGCAAGCGGAAAATATGCCAACATCTTTTTAAGTATCTTTGTCATTGAGTTGTAGTAAGAAACCGGATTGTAATCAAAAACTATTTAATCAACACAGAACTCAATGTTTGACTAACTTTGTTTGTTTTGTGCCAACTAACAAGCATGACAGTCTATGGGATTTTAAGGGGAGATCTGGTGCAAAAGAAGCGACATAAACAAATTCTACTGCAAGAGAATGAATCAAAGTATAATTCTAAACTATGCAGAGGTTGACCTACCTCGGAGAGCTTTGTGATAATATTAATCCCATTGATTTTTATGGGAAGAGTTGATAAACATGTATGTGCTTGATGTCCTTCTTAAAAAGAAGATATACCATATTCACAACAATGTATCATCCATAAAACAATCAAAATGTTTTTATTGTTTTGTTCATGATAACATTTGATTTTTTTAATATCATTAATTTTTAAACTGTTGTTTTACTTCATAAATAGACTGAAAGTTTAATATGGTTAAATTTATTGCTTTTTAATTACATTATCCTACTTGATTTACAGTGGTTTCAAAGTTTTGGCCGCCAGTGCATATCAATATGAATTGTTGAGAGTATAAAAGTCAGATTATAAAAGTCAACATCAAGCCTGTTCTGCTAAACCACATACTATTTGAAATAACTAGGCGTTTCCCCCTTTTGTATAAGCATTTTTATATAAATTAAATGAAGATATGCAGGAAATATGAATTATCAATAATTATTTGCTATTTAGCAACAAATATTGTTAAATATGCAGTTACTTTCGGACTCCGTGGCGCAGGTGCCAAGGTATTCGGCTTTGGGTCGGGGTTCGATTCCCACGAGAGAACTATTTGTGTCGAACACGAGAGAAATATTTCGTCGAAATTTACTTGTGTATAAGTACTTTACAAAAAAGGATAGTATTATCCTACGGGATGAGGCAATGTTTTTGAAGGGAAGAATACAATGGTACTTAAGACTACCACCAAACCCCTTCCACACAAAATAGAAATACAACACTGGGACGGATATGGAGTTTTTTTTATATGAAGATAATGTTATGTAATTCAGTTAGGTATGTGGAAAGTCAAGAAATATATTGACATATCACACAATAGTTACACTGTTATCCAAAAAAAAGAGAAAAGGTATGTATAGTATTAAATACTTGACAACTACGGACCCTGTACTGGATTTGAATTTGCAAAAAACATCTTTTTTGATACGATTTTCGATCCTTACGTATATTATAAAGGCGAAAGTATGTATGTATGGATGGATGTTTGTTACTCTTTCACGTAAATATTACTGAATGGATTATAATGATACTTTACAATAATGTGGCTTATACATCAGAATAAAATATAGGCTATGATTTATATCCATATCTTTATGTATATCTGTCTTTCTGACTGAATGTTACGCCTCCAGCCAATTCTACGCAGACGTATTCGCGGGCAGCAGCTAGTATTGTATATGTTATATCGATATATCGGCTGAAAATATCGATACTCTTTCGACACCCCTAAATCCAGCTCCCCGCGAGCGCTGATAGCAAAAAGGCGTGCACGGTCTACTCACCTCCGCCTGGCTGGTGCTCGCCGATATCATGGCCGACACGGAGGTGGGTATAGCGGGGGGAGCGTCGGGCTTCGGTTTCGGACGGTACTTGGCGTGGCGCGCCCTGATCTCTTCCAGGGAGACGTCCTCCGGCGGGTGCACTATCTTCGAGCCGGCCCCGGTGGCGGTGACCAGCGGGCACGTGTTGGCAGCGGGCGGCCGCACGTCGCCATTCTCCTTCGGCTCCGACGCGCTCGCCGTCGACGTGGTGGGCGGCGCGCTTATCGTCGCGTTGCTGGCGACGGGCGGCAGGGTCAACATACACGCGTTCGGGTTGCGGGCCGCGCAAAAGTAAACCCGCTGTGACAGTGTGAAGTTCGGACGGAGCACTGGTTTTTAGTTTTTTTTTTTTTTTTCAATCCATAATATTCGTTGTTAAGTTATACTCCTTTCGGCGCGTTTGAGAAGAGAACTGGCACAGGGGATAGTTTTTTTTTTAGTTTGTTTTGTTACGCTTAAGAAGTATAACTTCTCACGTTTTTTATTTTATATTTCTGTTACATGGGAGTCATTCTAATTTTGCAAGTTTTGCAAACTTCACTCATACGCATTTAATTTTGCGCGGCCTGTTGGTCGGCTATTCCCAGATTTACTTCTGTTATGTATATTTAAACAAAGCAGGCTTAGTCCGTATAAAGATTATCTCTATGGTGTATAAATACAATGTTCGAACATTTTAGCAAACCCTCTATGGCTTTTCGTGCATTCTCAATATAATTTTTTACTCACCATTAAGTCCTTGAAACATCCCAAGGTCATATGGACCACTTGTTAAAATTGAAGATGTTCAAAGCGGACAGACAAATGAGTGTTCATAGTATATTTTGTGTCAACATACAGCTGTCTGACTATGAATTAGAAAATGTGATGAAGTAGTTAGAACAACTAATTTATGCATGGACAATTATGTATTATGGTTGATATATTTAACTTCGTGAGTATTAAGAAATGATTGCATTTATGAAGAAATTTTTTCACTGTTAAGTACACATTAATTCAATGATTATGAAATGATGTTATAAATATTGGAAAGCTGTAATGTTACCAATAATTTTGTAATGGCATGCTATGAAAACAGAATGTTAATAAACTGACCTTTTTGAACTAATTCCTCTAACACTAATATTGCCAGCTGACCTTGCTACATATTTTTGTGTTAATTTCTTTTCCAGTTTCATTTATTGCAAGATCTGCATATTTAATGTTTTTTAAAGATGATTAGAGATAAAATGTTACATAAGAATTCTTATTAAATAGACAATGATAATATTCAACTTGTTAACTATACTTATTTAACTATTTAAGGTGATTGTTGTATAAATGAAAACATGTCAATAAAGCAGATATACTATGTTGCAGTGCAAACCCGATGGGTTGTCCATTCAATAACAATGGAAGGATGATTACATGGTTTAGACTACTTACATAATGGCATTGGTGTGAAAATTTGATAATTGTACTGCCAATTTGGAATATGAAATTCCTGCACAGATCCTTTTAATTTGAGTAAAATATAGTCTACAGCAATATACAGTGAGCCTGGGTTAAATAAGTATTTATTCTGTATGCTTGGGTTGAACACTTTGTTTGTACTATAATAAATTTCCTGTAAGTTGTTATCTATTGAAAATAACAAAACTAAGCGGATAAAAAAATATTTCAGGTTTATGTTAACCTTGTATTGCATACTTCATTTTACATCAACAAGGAGATTTAAAATTTAACATTAAAAAAATATAGATAGCAATATTAAAAGTCTGTTATTTAATTAAGGTAGTTGGTATCATTATAGAATTGAGTTACCTATATGCAGGGAAGGTAGGTTTACTTGGTGTTGATGTTGGCACACTTGCCGCTGGGAAGAGAGGCCTCATCCCAGGCATCATCATTCTGTAATAGTCATGTACACTACATCAGCTTGTTAACAGTCCATTCCCACAAGTAGGCCTGGGGCGAAATAGACAAGATTAGCCATAATCATCATGCGCATAATGTAGATTGAAGAATGCAGTACTGAGTATCTATGTAGCAAAAAAATATAAGAATAATTTTGTGTATTATACAGATTTTTGTCCAATGTAGATATTGAGTAAGAGTTGAGACAGTTTAAATTCTTTGCATTATTGTTGGAAATCCCAAAAATTTATATTAAAGAACAATCCAGATTCCACGCTAAATTTTAAGATACTTAGTACTAAATTCAGCAATCATGTCACTTGGCATTGCAATTATGGCAAATCGCCCCAAATTGGGGAGTTTAAATAACAGTATAGCAATTTGTTACTCTTACCTAGGAGCTTGCATAAAAGGTGGCATCATATGGTTCATGGGCATTGCATGCCCAGGGTACATGCCAGGAGGTACAGGTGCCATTGGGGTAGGTAGAATACCTTGCGTCACAGTTGAAGGACCCGCTCCCAGCTATTAAAGACATTGTAATTTTTTAATGAAAGAAATTGATTAATTTGTATCTTTAGATTATAAAAGTGATAATGTAAGCAATATATTTGTAATACTTAGAGGTTTATAGAACTAGTTTTCCCACTGGTGTATACATACTGGACATACTCTGAATATAAAGATTTTTCAATTGAAATGTGCAAATCAAACAAGTTATTTGTGTTATCTTTGTATGATATAATACATTTCAAAGTAAAATTAACAATTTTAAAGACTCACTGAATTTTGTTTATTCTGTAACCCAACAAACATTCTAAGTGAGCAATTTGAAATATTAAAGTAAAACAATTTTATAAATAATGGGTGAATTTTAAGGCAAACATAATTACCAATGCTGGTGTGGCTTTTTTCTTAGCAGCAGGCTCATCATCTTCACTGTCTGATGCTTTGCCCCCACCTAAATCATTCACAATTTGATAAATATAGGCAACTTATAGGCAATATTCTATTGACATACCTTTAATTACTGGAACACTAAGTAAATCTATACACCAATAAACATCTAACGCTACAGTGTCCCAAGCAAAATTCAAAAAGTATATATTTGTACATACATTGGGCTCCATAAAACACTGCTGAAGGTGAAACAGAATGTTTTTATACCTGTTTTTTGCTTCTCATGCTCCTTGATATCTTCTGGTGGTATACCTTCCATACCATATATTTCTATTTCTATATTAGACCTATTTGGTAACGAATTTGGAACTTTGTCTATGGCTTCCTTGTGTACCTAAAACATATGAAACATGATAAGCTAAACTATCGCGAAAACGGATTCAAAGATCACAATATAAACGGATTACTTTTATTGGGGCGAAATTAGGCGCGTCTACTGAACATAGAATAAAAATATCTCGACCTATAACCGTGTGTGATAAAAAGAGTAGATCGTAGACAAGACGTGGGCGGGCGGGGCAAGTGCCAAGTTACCAGAACTAGCATACCTGCATACAATGGATTGACAGTCCGGGGCCCGTGTACAATTTCTTGTGGCATATGTGGCATTTAAAGTGTTTCGCTTTTTGATGTTGAATCAGAATCTTTTCGTCGTCAAATTCTCTGTTACAGTACCTGAGTTATGTGCTAAGAAAAATATTTTATTACACATTAAAAAAATAAAGTAAATATTGCAAAATTAGGTCAATTATGCATTGCGAAGGTCACATGTATTGGTAAATGTAATCCCAAATCTTGTTTGTAAAGGATACCAGCACCACGGTTTTGATGCCTTCTTCTTCTTCCTACCCATCGTAATAACAACACAATCACAAAAAAAAGACTTATAAATTAATGCAAACTAATAAGTAAATCAATTAACTTAATATATAAGTATCACAGATTTCAATAAGCAAACTTAAACCACAATGTAATACCGCAACGCAAATGTTATACGCCACGCAAAATGGCGGCCAAAATGCTCACAGCCTCACACTATTGTCTATGGTATGAATGAAATCTACAGTCTACGGCTAAGTTAGCGAATAGAGGTGACTGACAGAAATATATGTTTTTCACATTTAAATCGGTTTTTAGTTTTTATATAGCATCATCATTTAGTGATTTGTATTTTTTATTGCAAAGTTATATTAATAAAATAATACTTTAACCTTAAATAAATATTTTAACATATTTCATTCAAATTATATAATTTTATTTTATTCATATTTAACATCACGCAAATTTTAATTGCTTACTACTAATAATACTTATTTGTTTTACGCCGGTCCCAGATATGTGAGCAAAAGTTTGAAAAGATACTCAAATGCTATGTGGGAGGATATTTTCAAAATATTTGTACAAATATTTTTCGGTTTTATTTGTTATTTCACATTTTCATAGGTTTTACAACGCATATCAAAACGAACAAGGAATAAATATTTATGAACGCTCGAAGCGTCAATCATTCGCTACCACGATTGGATTGAAACAGTCTACTACAACGAATATTTGGATGTGTGATTGCGGTCTTGAGTGACTCGATCCTATCCTTAAAAAAACAAATGCAATTGATGACGTTGTAATCGGGTAACTTGGAATGATAGGTAAATACTAATTGTCAAAAAGTTACCGATTGCAATGGTAACACCACGAAGCTAGTGTAAACTCAAAGAGTACATTAGATATTATAGAGTCATCAGTCTCCTCGTGAGACAGCGCCATCTCTCGATGCAGGACCGAACTACAAGTTCAGATATATATATAACTATATATACTAATATATATATACTTTTATCATCCGTATGGCTAAGGAATGGAACAACCTGCCGGCGTCGGTCTTCCCATCCGATTATAACGTAGGCGTCTTCAAGGCAAGAGTGAATAGGCTTTTACTGAGCTAGCGCGCTTACCATCCGCGGCTGCATCGCCACTTACCATCAGGTGGGATGGCAGTCAAGTGCTAGTCAGTTCCATATAAAAAAAAAAAACTACAGTTTTCTATATGGTGTATATGAATTTATTTAATGGTGTATATTTATTTAATTTATATTTGATATCATTGTATAGAAAACAGTAATTAGATACAAGCTTGCTAGATGTTATTTTTGGATAAAGTAAATAAAATACAGAAATATGTTTTGCGAACTTTATTTCGTTTTTTATAATATTCACTCGCTATTTTTATTTATAATCTTTGTTATGAATGATTTCGAGTCTGGTGCCGTTTAGTAAATTATTTTTGGCTATCCAAAATCAGTAAATTTCCTCCAATCGATTGAATCCATGTTTTAAATCTGTCACTATCATTTTCAGGTGAGGAAAAGAATGCAAAATTTGCGTTGCAGTCTTTCCTTGTAAATACAATATTAATGTTTTTCCGTAACGTATAACAAAAAAATGATGAATAATGAAAGATAACCGAATAAAATAATGAATAATAACCGGCCGCATTTCAGTGTTACCAACTGTTGAAAAAAAGAACTCCTAAAGAAATTCAAAAAGCTCCTAAAATCCACTGTTTTCAAAATAAAAACTTCCTAAATGAAAAAAGTCACCTTTTTTAAATTATCTAACAAGCTAGAATAATTATCGGAAAATTTAATTATCTGAGTAATCAAAACTTTTATTTAAAAATAACTAATATACTTAATAACTAATTAATTAATATACTTGACCTTCAACATTGTTCATTAACTTGAAAAATATTTATACAAATTAAATACATTCTATTGTGACGTTATAATCATTTTCATTATTTTTAAGAATCAGACAATAAATAATAGGAATGAGTAACATTCAATTATAAAAGATCTGAATGAAACATACCTAATGAACCTTTAAATTCATTGTCATTTTCCCACTTAGCTGCATATTTTGAACAAATCCGATGGCAATTTTCTCACGATTTGGCATTTTATATTACTTATTAAATTAATTTAATATATTATGAGTAGCCGTATATTCACAATAAGAGTTTATGGCGGCAATTTAAAATACTACATAGGCCAATGCTTCCAATACTATTAGATTATATTTTGTGTTTAAAATAGTGTAATTTTTTTTAAATGTAAATTAAATTTTATTCCTAAAAAGATTCCCAAATAATTTCTCCTCGTGAAAAATTTCTATTGTAAATTTTTCATCCTAAATTTAGGAAGAATACTTCTAAGTAGACATCCGTGGCGCAGTTACGTCGGTAACGTTCCGTAGCACTGAAGGTATAAAATATAAACAAAACAAAAAGTCGCGTGTCGAAAGCCGTTGTCCAGTTATATGACTCAAATAGCTTAATTATCAATAAACTAACATCCCATTTGCTGAACTGCGACGAAACCAATCTGATGAAAGAGATGATTCTGCTGCAAAGTAAAATTTTCAAAATAAAAACTAAATAAAGGCTAATAATCGTATTTAAGGGTAAACACGGTTTATCGATCACGGTATCTCGATTTCCGGCAAAACTACAAGGCCTATGGAAAAAAGTTAAGTAGCAAAGTTGTTGGTAATGAAAAGATCTACAACTTTTGTATTCACACTTTTTTCACATAACCTCAAAATTATGTGAAAAATTCAAATAACCAAGTTTTTGGTTTTTTATTTTTATCTTTTACAAAAATGTTTTTTTTTTCACGAAATTTGGTCACGTTCCTCATGTTTGCATTTTCTGAGAACACTTACCGTAGTAAAGTTTTTTTTATACCATATGAAAGTTGAGATTTCAACGAACAAAAAGCCCACCGACTTTTTTAAAAAGCTGGCATTATAAAGAACTAAACAAATTAATGTTTGGATTGGAGAAAGTCTAGCGGGCGCTGGCGTGATATGCAGTTGCACACACCTACAACCGGAGGCGCGGCACTATATGGGCTTAAGTGTATTAGTTTTCCTCTTAGCCGGGATCAATGTTATCAGCTTATCGTTAACATCTGACAGCTCAGCGAACGCGGAGCGAGCTCGCATGAGACACGGGCGTGACACGCATGAGTCGGGGCGTGCTCGTTTCCCGTTTTGCCATTGGCAGATTGCGCGCACTTTACAAATTCGTACGCACTCTGGTATTAATTTTATCGTGTTTCGGTAAGCTCAACTCAAGTGTGGCCGCGGCTTAACTTTATCACAATTTTGCATTATTTCTCTTTTTGTAAAAACAAACAATACACCAATAATGAGTTAAAAGTTAAACGTGAAAGTTAAAGAAACATTACACATACAATAATGAGTTAATTGTTCCCACTGTAATAAATAATTTCAGATTCAGATTCTTTACCTCTCAATGTTTGAATAATAATGTTAATGTTTTTATGTAAAAAATATGTAACATGGAAAGTGTTAGAATTAGAAGCACACAAGTAAATATGTGCTTATTCAATACATTAATATAACACTTACTATAATACTTCTTGTTGTTGCGACATTCCGTGTCCATAATATTATTACAACGTATCACTACATAGTATAATACAAAGTCGTCCTGCTGTCTGTCCCTATGTATCCTTAGATGTTTAAAACTACGCAACTGAACACGATGCGTTTTTTTTACTAGATAGAGCGATCCAAGAGGAAGGTTTATATGTATAATACATTGGACCCGTGCGAAGCCGGGGCGGGCTCGCTAGTGATTCTAATGAATCACACTAAAAATGGCTTATAAGGATGAAAATGAAAAGGTAATATAGAGATTTTTTGTTGAAAAATAGTTTTTGAAATAATTGAAATGAGGGCTCATAAAGGACAACTGTTTACTTACGAAGCTTCGAATCTTCGAATACCAAAATTATTCCTTCGTGCTGTAAGACTTTGCTTTTGACCAGAATTGAAAATTCTAATTCAACTGGAAGTATCTGCCCGATAGGTTTTGGGTCGAAAACCTATACGGTAGTTCCCGTTGACCTAGAATCACGAAATTTGGCAAACAGAAAATTCCGATAAATGAAAAAAGTTGAAAATTGAGGTAATTTTTGGTACTTACAAGTTTTCGTGAAAATCTAAAATTGCTTTGACTGCCTTGATTTTCATTAACCAAATGTATAATAAATATAAATAATAATAAATTTCAATTTGCTAGGTTCATCCTTTTCTGAGAAAATCAGTGGTGCCACACGGACAGACAGACGAACAAGAAAGTGGTCTATAAGGGTTCCTTTTTTAACTTACGTACGGTACGGAACCCTAAAAATAAAGTTAACTAATACTTCGGTTGGCGACTTCAAGTTGTGTCATATAAGATATATATACAGCGTGTCGTTACAACCGCAACAATAAATGAACACACATATAGAGGATAACTTTTTAAAATTGTATTAAGCATTTACATTCTTTAAACATCAATATTTACCGAGTTATTAAATTTGGTGTTCTAAAAATGTTTGTTTTGTGAGAACGTATAAAATGTAACGTAAAAGTTCATTTGTAAAGGTCACAAAGGCTGCCACTCGAGAACCTTTCTTCTCCAGCGGTTTCTAGTTATCTTGTGTGGTAATTCTATTCGTTTGTAACGTTCATGTTGATCTTTTGTTTTTATATATTTGTACGGCGTTATAAACTAAATAAAAAGTAGGAATTACCAATGAAACAGTAAGACATTTTTTAAAACATATTGCATCCTGGTAATGAGTACAGATCTAAGGAGTTAGATCTGTTCTCATATCTGAAGGGGAGCCTCCATCAACCTATTTAAGTTCTTGTAAACAAAAGGGTAGGAAATTCGTGTTCTATTCAACGGTTGCCCGTTACGCTAGTTGGAATTCTGCTTTATTCCTTGTTCCATTAATTAATTCAGTTTATTCAAATAATAGAGTGATTAAGTTAAAA